AGATCCTGAAAAAGAACCCATACCACAAATCCCCAACTCTTAAATAATCCATGATTTCTCGTAAGAGCATTTGGTTTGTCTTAAAAATCCCAAGAAATCTTGTCAAATAAAAATCGCTAAAGTCCTTCATAAAACTAAAAATCATCAAAAAAAAAAATCATCATATTCTTCACCAAGTGGTAAGGAGCCTAGCAACAAAAAAACATAAAAAAAAAATTTGTGATTAGTTAGCCAACTGAAAAAGGGGGAAAGAAGATGAAATGAGAGAAAAAAGGTCGAAAAAAAAAGAATAGTTTTGACAAGAGGAAGAGAAAGGGAAGGAGAAGTGAAAGTGGTGAGGAACCCAACAATGAAAAAACAAAAAAATTTTCGTGATTAGTTAGCTAATTGAGAAAAGGGAAAGAAGATGAGGGGAGAGAAAAAAAAAGTAAAAAAAAAAAAAGATAGTAGTTTTGGTGAGAAGAAGAGAAATGGAAGGAGAAGTGAAGAAGGGAAAGAAAAGAAGAAGCGAAAGGAGGAAGAGCCAAAAAAAAGAGGGCTCTGTTCGGCGTGAAGAAGAGAGAGAAGGGGGAAAAAAGAAGAAAGAGAAAGGAAAAAACAAGAGAGAGTTTGAAAAGTCAAAGGGATTTGATTTTTGTTTAAAAAAAAGAATGGAGAAGGGGTTTTAAATGGGTAATTTAAGATTTTTAATAATAATGATTTGAAAATTCAAAAGAAATAGCGTTTTGAAAAGTTAAAAAGAGAGATTGAAAAGAAATGTTGGAAAGCTAAATTTGGGGTTTGTTTATTAAAGAAAAGAAAGGAATAGGAAATTATGGGAATTACAATTGGTAGGCCATTCCAAGCTTAGGATTCCACTTAGTGGAATCTAAATCAATTTGAGTTTTAAACATTTGATGGGAATAAGTCCAACTCATTGGGGTTCTAAGTTCAAAACTTAGTTGGTATATTTTTTTTATCCTTTTTCATATATTATTTACTTGCATTTTAACATTGTGTTGCTTTTTTTTTAATAAATATATGTGGATAATTGAAGGTATAAAAATAAATTTAGGAATAAAAATAAAAATTATGATAATTTATGGCTTAAAAGGATTCTTTCATAAAAGAAGATTTTAGAAATAATAAATTAAATGATTTTTTCATGTGAAAATATGAGTTTGGAATCCCTACCTAAATAATAAAATAAACATTTTTACGAGAAAAATGTCATTGACACTTTAATAAAATCTATTTGAAAAAACACAATTACATGCATTATTTACTTTATATTGATATTATCATGTATGCATTTTGTACATTAATAATAAATAATAAGGTATCAATTTTAAAATTTTTTGAGGGAAATAAAATAATTGTTTAAAATGATTTTGGAGAGCCTGCCTTAGTATTGGAGGGAATTCAAAATCGTGTTTTAAAATTTTAGTTTTGCTTAAATATTGAGAAATTAAAAATATTTTTAAAAAATTAATTAAAAAAAAGAAAAATTCACTCTTCCTTCATTTTTAATATTAATTTTAGGAAAATGATAGCAAACAAATAAGATTAAATATATATGAGATAGATTAAATTGGTAGTTTCTTTTATTTTCTGTTTGCATTTGCATCATTTATTTCGTCTCATAATGCATAAAAAAAAAAAAGAAAAGAAAAACTTTTAAGGAAAAAGGAAAATTGAAAACCAAATTTGTTTCAAAAGTGTGTCTGAATGTTGGGGATGATGAAGAATATTCGGATTATAAATAATTTTCATTTTTCCTTGAAATCTTAAAACTGTGAACCCTAAATTTGATTCAAACCCTAAATCTATCCAAAACACTCAAAACCATCCCAACATTTAAAGGATTTATATAAAAATATTTATGAGGCAATATGTCCTCAAATGCCGTCTAGATGATGGGGTATTTAGAAAATTTTATTTCATTAAAATTTTTATATAATTTATGAACCTAAAATAATAATAAGATAAAATAAAAATGGAAATAAAAGCAAGATTTAAATATAAATAATCACACTTAAACTTTGCCTAGAGTTAGATTGTTTGGGTGGTCTCATTATTTGTAAGGGTCCGATTTCAAAATTGCATCCATTGGTATATATTTATATATTTATAATTGGATGCATTCATCTCACATATTTATTTTTTTTAATTTTACTATTTGTTTGTTAATTATAGCATCCTTAGGTTCTCTACATAAAAATATTCTTTGTGAAAGATGTTGTTCCAAAAATATAGAGTTTTAAAATAAAACAAAAATAACATTCCAAGAGAAATAATTTTTGGTACTTTACCTAAATGTTAGAGAGTTACTAATAATAATTATCTATAAAAAATGTTATTTTCATTTTTAAGGAATGGTGTAGTCAATCTTAGGTGAAAAGAGTTATCTTTAAATTCTGCTTAGATATTAGAGAATTTTAATATAATTCTTTAACGTAAGGATTTTCATAATATTCGTAAACAGAGACTTTTAATAAAATTGATTTTCTTTTTTAAAAGTGAAGGGACTTATCATTAAATTTTAAATTAAATCATTTTAATCTAAAACCAAAGATAACGCATGATTAATTAATACTGTTTTTAAACTATCTTTATGAAGATGCTAATTCTTTCCTATGCCTAACTAAACTCTTGAACTTAACTCTATTTTCAAAAATCAAATATCTTTTTGATAAACTTTAAACTCATTTTACTGTTTTATTAAAAAGATAAATTTTTTGGTGACCAATCGCACCTAATAAAAAATATTGGTAGCGACTCTCATTGTTTTTAAATTCATCGACCATCTCCAAAACTGTTATAAATTCATTGAGCTGCCTCCAAAACTGTTGTGACAAGAGTAACATGTAAGATACTTCAAATAGCATATATGAAGCTGTTCAGTGACTTTATCCAGCCTGCAACTGGGTCAAATATCAAAATGGTTGATCTATCATGCACTATATTCATAAAGAAGTGCACTAAGTTGTCTAGATTTTGGGGTATGCAAGGTGGTGATGAATTGTTGATGGGTGTGTGGATGAAGATAGCAATCCAACATGATGCAATCCATAAATAAACTGCAGATCAGATCCTAACTCATTCAAGGATTATTTTGAGAAAGGACTATTGGTTAGCATACTAGTTTTGCTTTCTTGCTGGTCAGATATCCATTATAAACATGCTTACCACACAGCTACATGAATGTAGTAGCCATGGAAACTGCGAATGAAATCCAATGTAAACATCAAGAATGATAACTTGGCAGCACTATGTGAATCACTCTTGGCTTTATGCAGTGTCTATAATGATATTATTGTTGTTTGAATATGCTGCTAATGGAAACAAACAATTGTTAAACCACTGGAGTTTCCAGCGTTTGTGTTTCTTTGGGTAATTTTTCTAACTCGCACATGTTCGTGTTTTATAGGTTCGTTATCTTAAGATTATTGAGAAAGTAGTTACCAGGCTCTTCCATGGGTACGGTACATTACAATGGCTGGCGAGTATGAACTAAGACTCGTTTGATAGCCATTCCTTTACGTTGAGATTTCCAATTCACAGCGTTTTTCATGAGTTTGAAGGGACACAAGTATACAAGGAAACTAGTTGATAAACATATCCCTGTGAAGAGCATTAAAGAGTGGTTTGTCTTGAAAAATCATTTCTGCTTCATATTATACCGTCTGTTCATTATAATTGTTTTATCTAATAAACGTGTAAGAGTTTATGATCACCAAGAACATTTTTACCTTATCAAACTACAAATTGGATAATGTAAATTCTTTTTTTGCCTTTTTGTCAATGACTTATTGTTTGAATGTGTCAACCCAGGGACTTTTGATGCAGTTTTGCCCATTGGCCAGTATTGCTAGCACCCACTGCATTCTATTTGCCTGGTAGCGTGCATCAGTGGCATTGCCATTGCCAATGTTTGGAAGTGGAAGCTAGTCCTAGGATAACTTAATGCAAAAGGCTTGTTAGAACATCATGACAGTCGGTAATTTGCATCCATTGCGGATGATAGCAAGCCTCGGTCCTTTTTGTGTCTGGAAGCAGATGAAACATTGGGATCATTATTTACTCACACCTCTCCTTCAAGGCCTATATCTTTGGAGTGCCCTAAGATTGCCTCATTTGCTTGCCACTATGTATCTTCCTTTTTAACCTACTGAACCGAACTTTATTCCCATAAATTTTTCTCTGAATCAGAATATGTGCCCAAAATAAACATGACTGAACTCGATTTTGAAAGAAAAAGTCAGGTTCGGATCTAAGAAATCTTAAAAAGATCCAAAATCAGAAAACCTGAATTCCAATCCGAAAAGCATACTAAAATGATTACAAGTTGAAGCTCTTATTAGCCTCCTTTGGTTGCAACATGTTCTTTTGTGGCAGGTGTTCATCTTGCTTCTTTTGATAATGAAATATATTTCAATTATAAAAAAATGATTACATATTAGATAAAATTTAAAAATGATCTGAACTATTCTGAACCTAAACCTGAAAAAAAAAAAAAAAGTATATGAACTAGTTTAAACCTAATTCTATAGATTGGAATCCGGAATAATCAAAACTCGGAACGATTATACATAATGGATTTCTTTTATGTATATTTTTAAGGAAAAATCATTTGCCGTTGTTGGCTAGGTATTCATTTTTCTATATAACTCTTAAGGTATGTTTGTGTCAATGAAATTTTGTTTAATCCCAAAAAAAGAAAACTACTGAAATTTTTCTGATGAAAATCCGGTCATCAAGATCCACCTGCCGAACGCAGGACTCAATGCCCAGAAGCTTGCTTGGACTGAAAAAAAAAAAAAAGGCCCAACTGAAAAGATCCAAAACACGCAAAAAAAAAAAAATCCCATAACCATATGAGAATGAATATCTCTTCCAAAATGCATCTAAATTTAGTAAGATAAAACATTGACATATAGACTAAGTTTCTAATGTCCCTCACATAACTACAATCTAGTGAACCGGTATAAGGGAAAATATAAATGAAAAAGGAAATATAACATTTACAGCAGGGTCAAAAAGGGTGGAAAAAGTGGGGGGAAAATGAAAGAGATGAGAAGAGAATTTGTGGGGGTGGAACACAATGAGAGCTGTTAAGTTTCCTTTACCAGTTTTAGGGGTGTAGTTTATGTGTGAGAACAACAGGTGAGACTATTCGGGAGCTTGATTGGGTAAAGTTTGTGGAGTCTTCCTAAAAACATGTTTTCTGCAACGCTCAAAAATGCTGTCATATACCAGATCAAATTGAACGCCTGCTCTTTCCCTATTCACAATGAACAATATGTGATCTGCCTCTACAATCTTGTAATACCTGCAACCATCAATGCAATTGTAAGTCCGCTCTGAGAAGCATCTGAATAATAGTGTAGGGGAGCTAGTATTTTCAGTACAACTGCAATGCCATTATATCTGCCAATAGGTTTATTATCATCATAATGTTTTTGCATTTTTCTGGATGCTGCTGGTTAAATTTCTAAACTAATCAGATGGGTTTCTTCAAAATGATTCAGGAAGATAAACTAGGTTGTCCTACCTTTCTATGGATATGCATATTCACTAAAAATAAAGAATGAAACATTCCAAATTCAAGACGGTAACAAAAAGCCAAAGTCAAAATAGCAAACAATAAGTTCACTAGGCGTTTCATTGTTTAAACATTTTGTCAAAAGAAATTACTGGAATCAAACACTTCTGCCTGACATGCAAGTGGTTCAGGGCAAGTTTGGAAAATAAATTTAGTCTTCTCCCAAAAGCAGTTCCAAAATCTTTACATTTATAATTAGCAATGAAGAACATACAACATTCTCACAGATTTAATCCACATTATAATAATCCATACTGGTCAACTAAAAATTGGTATTACAATTTAATCCACTAATTGTAACACCAATTTTTCGATCACCAGTATGGACTGGACCCTTTCTCATCAGGAGGGAACCACTCATCCAACCAAAGCAGTTGTTAAAAAGAACCACCTTATAATTGAAATTTATAACCAAACTCATCATTAGCATTTTATTAGTAACGCCAGCAAGTTGATGATGGTGGAAATGAGGAATACTAACCATATGCCTGGCTGCAGGGGTTGGCAGTCAGAATCATTCACAACAAAACAGCTTGGGTGTTCAATTGGGAGACGAGGGTGAGTCATAGATATCGTGTTGAGAGCTCCATCGTTGTCCTGCCAATCCTCATCCCTGCAAATAATTTTTTTATATTCAAACCAAAAGTTCCCAAAACTTCCATGCTCAACCAATTTTCAAAAGTTTATCTGAAAGACCATAATTTCAATGAATATGAAAATTCTAATTTCTAAATATTTGAAATACAGATTACATATATGCAATCCATGAAGGAAAGCCAATATTTTGAAAGTTTAGAGATTTTGCACTGTTTTCTTGGTAATATCATGACAATTTTTTAAGGCAAGCGGTTGCTTGGTCCAAGTACCTATGATTGACAAAATAGGAATTTTTTCAGGACCCTCTACAAATATATTAAGATGTTGTCAAACTTTAAAAACCTTGAACAATCAAATGAAAGCAACCAGAGAAATTATATATGAAGAAGTTGATATAACAATATATGTTGTTTAGGGTGCACCTGTAGCCTTTATAAGGGGGAGAAACATCTGGAGGATGACGCCACTGGCTCATCTGTAGCACTCGTATAAAAAGCAATGGGTGTATGCCAAGAACGCCAGAAGGAACTGTGACACCCAGGATCTTCCTTGTACGCTTAGTAGCGTAGCTGAAATAGAATGTGTTGGGAAAGGTTTGTAGATGGCAGTTCAATCTTATTGACCCTTCAATTGTAAGATCAGTAAGGATCCAATCTCCCATAGCAAACGGCCCTGCATTGCCCAGGAGGCAGTCAACAAGACCCCAAAGACCTACTTTTTTCCATGACATGTTAAAATGATCGAACCCAAAATTGTAGTACTTCTTTAGCCAGGGGATATCCAACCAATCATAAATTATAACTCCTATACGGCATAGCTGCAGCAGACTAATAGGTTTCATCGTTCTTCCATCCTCTGGCCTGAAAACAATTGAAATCATAGCAACCAAGAATCAGAAACTCTTTACATGGCTGAGTTCGAGAAATTTCCAAGGAAGAGGGTAAGAATATCATGGTAAAGCATAATAGAAATGGAATACAATTTTTATTTCAAGGTGAGTTATCGCCTGGAAGCTGCTATTATTCTAAACTCTACAGTAGCATTCAATGATTTCAATCAAAATCTACTAAATATAGATGGCAGAATTCCAATTCAATTAAAGCTTTCAAGCCAAAGAAGATGAATGTAAAGAGAACGTACTGCATGCCGTCTAAATAAGTTCTGGTAGTCCCATTGAAAGCCCCGGATAAGGATGTTATACTTAATACCCAGTTCTCAGAAGTATTCTCATACCCCTTGAATGCCTGGAAAAGATGATCATATAATCAGAACTCAGGAGAATAAAGTCCATAAGAGATGACTCTTCACTTGAACGGGAAATGGACTAACCTTATCATCAAGCATCTGCTGCAAGACACGCACAACCTGAGCACCAGCTGAATGGCCAACAAAGTGAATAGGGTGATCTTCATCCCATTCTGGGAAATGCCCTGCATCCCAATATCACAGTAAACAAATTAAACACATAATTAGGCAGATAAAATGGGCAATTTTGTCCCATTAAAACAGAGAAACAGAGAAAGAGCAATAATAGTCAACAAAAAGCTGGGAAATTTCTGCTTACCTTGTTCATAAATTCGTCCAAACTGCGAGTGCCCGCAAGCCTTGCTATGTTCTTCACCATAATCAACTTGCCCTCCTTTCAAATAATAGAACAACTCACGCGCCCTGAAACCAACCAATCCCATTAAAAAATCCAAATAAAGATACAAAAACCAATTCATGGCAAGCATTTATGCTATAAGAAGCCTACCTATCGTATATGCTTGTAAGAGACCCCAAATCAGGCACAAGAACCCTCTCATCTTTTTTCTCTGCCCCTGCAAAGTATGATAAACCTCCCAATCTCTGCCAACAACAGGTCAAAATCCAGCTTAAGACTACAAACCCATATATATATATATATATATATATATATATATATAAGGAGAGAAGAAGAAGAAGAAGAAGAGAATATAAACCTACTCCTTTGCCAAATCCAAAAATGCCATGAACCAATACAATAGGAGGCAGAACATTAACATTGGTCCCACTGGGATCTTCTCTTTTCACCTCTATACTTGCATTAGGCTTAAAAAACCATTCACTCAAAGCCTGAGAAAGGTCCCCAGCCACAGCCGTGCTAAATATGTAAAACCCATATAGCACATGCACCATTGAGCTAACAAACAGCTCGGCTAATTGCAAAGCAGATATCCACCATCTTATCATCTTCTCAAAACTAAAAAAAAAAAAAAAAATCTAACACAGAGCCTCCTCCTCCTCCTTCTTCTTCTTCAAATACGAAAAGAAAAAAAGAAGGCTCTCCTCTGCATAAGAAAAATGATAAAAAGAAAGGGAAAGAAGAAAAAGGCTAAAACCCTTCAATGATATATGCTATTACCATATAAGGGGCAGATGAAACAAGAGACCAATTCTTCTTGTATATTTGGTTTTATCTTCTTTTGTTATTACTACCTTATTCTGGGTTTGTAACTTTGAAAATGGTTTCCCACAATTTCCTCATTTCCAAACGTACAGACGTCGTGCCCAATGAAAAGCCTTACGTCATTCATTGGATTTGTATGTTTGCACAGGGAGGTGGACCTGAAATGAAAATTTTGGTTAGGGTTGATGCCATGTGTAGCTGCCCCCCACGCCCACCCTCTCAAATAGGTACAAAATCTGCTTTTCAAGGGTGGAGTAAAGGGGACCCACTAAATTATGGGAAGTATATATAATCAATCCATTCCATTGATAAATTTAAAAACCCCCCAAAAATAACGGCCTATTTATTGGCAATGGGTTGGAATTTGGAAGCTGGTGGTTTGGTAAAAACAATAAAAAGCAAATAAATTATAAAAAAAAATTTGGAAATTGATTTTTAGGTAAAAGATAATTGGAGGCAATTCTATCCAGGAAGGGTGTGCTGGAACAGAGCTGGAAAGTTCCCCGTAAATCCAAACACCCAACTCGCTCCCCTTAAGCCTTATCCAATTTTGTTTTTTTTTTTTGGGTATCCGTTTTAATTTAATAAATCATCTCTTCCTTCCTTTGTGTATTTGATTATTGAAAGTCGTCAACCAGGTGCCTTTTAACGAATGCGTCAATCACATGAAAATTTTATGTAAATTTTAAAATAGTAAAATGGTCAATTTCAATTTGTTTTTCAAAAAACCAAAATCTGAACCAAACCTTAACTTAACCTTTATCACTCCTGAATTTAACAAAGTTTTTTTGACTCCACTGCTAAATCTCTTATTGGGTCTCTCACAGACAAACGGTCGCTTTAATAGCGATTTTCTTTGGTACAGCTGATGGAAGAAAAATCATTCTTTTATTTGTCGAGAGAAACGCATAGAATAGTTTTTAAAAAAAAAGGCAAAGAAAAATATTATTATTATTAGATACCATTTGTATGCTTTGATTTTGAGAAGTTTGTTGTTATTATTATCTGATAATACGTGCAAAGATGGCATGTGATGAGACCTAAAATTTTGTGTCTACATGTTTATAATATTTTTTCACACTGAAATTATTATTCTTTTAGACTCATTTTCTATTTTTTTGTGTTTTAAAATTATTTTTTTTTACATTTAAAATTTTTATTTTTTATATTTAAAATATTTTTATGATTTTTTTATTCTTTGACATAAAAAATTATAAGACTGTAATTTTATAAAAATTTTAAATTTTAATATTAAATACATTATACTCAAAACTTTTTTTTATTTTGTGAAAATTAATAGCATCCAAACAATTTAAAATGAAAAAAAAAAGTATATATACTGTTCTGTATTTTCTATATGATAATTAATCCAATGATTTTATGATTATTTTAAAAAATTTATTAAATACACTAATAATGAAAATTTTAACATTTTACAAATGAAATTAATAAAATGACATGTTCTTTATGTATATTAAAAAATAAAAAATTAATTAAAAAAATATGACATTTCACTTTTTCTAATCTCACATATGAAGTTGAAAAAACTCCACTAATAATGTAAAAAAAAAATTATATTTCTAAGTTTATGATGAATTGTTGATGTTAAAATCTGTTGTAATTCACTTTGAAATTGGAACTTCAAATCGGAAAGTTATTTTGGAAGCTGGGTTTTGAAGGAAATTGAGTGACCATGGCAGATTGTGTGTAAAGAAGAAGAAATATGAAATTTTTGCTGTGGACTTTATTTTTTCAAATTTACAAAATGAAACACAAAAATGAAGCAATTGTTTTGAACTTCAAAATTTTCTTTTTTTTTTTTTGAAATAAGATTTACCCATTCTTTAAATTTAATAATGATTCATTTAATCTCATTTTTTTTAGTTTTCCAATTCAGTTAATATCAAATTAAAGTGATAGTAAAGTATGAATTCTACTTTGTAAAAGGTAAGAATAAAAAACTCACGAAAAATCAATTCACAAGAGAAAAAAAAAAGAATATATGATTGAAAATATAACATTCAATAGTCTGGAATGGTGATTCAAGAGTCGCACTCATTAGATGATAACATTAACAAAAAAAAAAAAAACAATTTGGAGAGGAAAAACAAAACAAGTAGCAGGAAATTTTCGACTACAAGTAGTTTCCAGAAAAACCTATATAATTAAGTTTGATTAATTAAAGGAACTAGAACTTTAAAAGAATCTAAGAGAAATAAAGGTTTTTCTTTTTTAATGCAGAGTCAACCATTTTAAGATTATCAGTAGTTAATCTCAATTTTTTTATTATTAAGAAAAAATGTTTTTATTGTTTTGTTTTTAGTATTTTTTTATTCATGAAAAAAACAAAAAAGAGAAAAATATTATTTATAAGGATTTATATTTTGTACATGATTAATTACACTTAATAATTTTAAACACGATATAATGACATGATATGAAAAAAATTATATATATGTTTTAAAAAATGTGTTTCAAGTTTATTTGTATCGACATGAATTTTGATATGATACAATTTAATTTTTATATATATTGACATGTTTAAATACGTGAAAGCTACCAAAAATATGTTTAAATAAAACATATCATACGAATATACGTTTAAAATGTGACATAATATGAAAAACATGTTTAATTAAATCGTGTCATATGAGTACACATTTAACATATTTAACACATTTTTTATATTTATTTTAATTTAATATAAACAAATAAAGGTTATTTTAATTTTTAATATTTTAATTATGATACTTAATCAATATTCAATGTATCACATAAAAATTATTTTAAACATTTAATTATGATAATTATTTAATAATTATTATAAAATTATTTTTTATATTAATATTTAATATATAAATATAATATAAATAATAGTATTAATACAATATATCATTATTTTTTTAATCTTTAATAGTTCATCATTTTAGTTTTGTTACTAAAAACTAATATAATTATGTATACATTTATGATTGTTATATATATATATATATATATATATATTAAACGCATATTATATGAATATCAAATTTTTTAATACTTTCTAATATGCAAGTATTTTTTATATTAATAATGTATATATATTAATATATATAAATATTAACATATTAAATAAATATTGTTTTTTACAACTTTTTATAATAAGATTAAAAAATATTTTTTATTAAAAAAAGAATTGAGAAGGACAATATATAATCAATTGTTAATAACAAGTAACATCCAATATTATGATCATTGATCAAGTAACGAAAATCCAAATCATATGAATATATAATAATAGATTACATTGATAATAAATAACATTTATAATGATAATAAACTATATGATCATATTAATAACATGAATAATGATAAGTGATTATTTTAAATCATAAGAGTTAAAATAAGAGATTATACATTTGAAATAAAAAATAACACATATTCTAAATAATATGTGTAATGATAAAAATTATATAATTTATTCTATATTACATGGTGTGATATTATTAAAATGTAACTTATAAATTATTACCGTAAATACACATCTCGATAATTTATTTTAAATACTTTATTTTAAATCATATGATAAGAAATTATACATTTGAAATTAAACATAACATATTTCTTCTAAATAATATTTATAATAATAAGAGATTTTATAATTTATATTTCCTTATTATGTAATAAGGAATTTTTATAATATAATGTATATACTCACCTTAATGATTTGTTTTATATACTTTATCATGTGATAAGGTATTATTATAATATAATATATATACTTACCTTAATGATTTGTTTTATATACTTTATTCTAAAATCTAAATCAAATCATATAATACCCATATATAATTATATGAGATTATATAATTTATTCTAAATTATATGTATATGAGTATACTTGTGATAGTTAAAATATGTAATTGATTTTAATTATATTATAACATATAAAAAATTATTATAAGTAACATAAATATATTAATTTGACTTTAAAAATATATTAATTTGATATTTTTCAATAATTTAATAAATCATTAGGATATTTTACAAATAAATCATGCTAATTAAGTAAATATTGAAAATTTATAGTAATATTTATATATTAGAAAAGAAATAATTCTAGTAATATATTAATATTATGTATAGGGAAAATGAAAAAGCAAAAAGTATAAAAAATATAGCTTTTGCAATAATTTTTTTTATCATAATACATAATTATTAATATATATTCATTTTCTTATTTTTATTTATGATTAAAAATTACTAAAATTTCTTGCCTAACTGGCTAACCCTAAAATTTCTTTTCTTTCTTTCACTCTTTCATTTTAGCCACAACATGCAACAAGCCAACAACCTTCTTTCCTTTTTCTTTTCCTTACCCAAAACATCACTCTCTTAACTGTCAGTTGCCACTCAGCTATTCTTTCCTTCTTCCTTCCTTTATCTGCCTTTCGTACTCTTTGTTTCTCAATCGTAGTTGATTTGTCGATCAATAAAGCCATTGTGTCCCTTCCATCGCACCACTCTTGCCAGAACACTATAGTAATTTTCTTTTTCTTTTAGGTGTTTGAAGTAAAGATTTCTTTCATTGCTAAAGTCTGTTTGAAGAACCGATTAATGTTTTTTATTATTCTGCTAGTTATTAGCAAACAAATGAGTTTCGGTGTTTCTATTAATCAATTTTTGTTACAATGTTTTGAATTTTTTTTGGATGCTTAGAACTTGATGGTTGGCTACTTGTTCGGCTATTATTTGGTCTGTGTGGGTTGTAAGAAATGAGGTAGTATTTGAAAATAAGAAGTTAAATGTTGAAGAACTATTATTTCTGGTTAAGCTACGTTCTTCGTCAAGGATCAAAGTGGTGAAAGAGGATTTTGAGATTTTAGACTCTTTGTGGTAGTTTACTCTAGCGTCAAAACTGAGCTTCTTGTGATTAAAACTACTCTTGAGATCTTTATGAAGTCTGGATGGTATGTTAATTATCAACTGATTATTGAATATGGTTTTGCTATTGCACTAAGCTGGTGTGTTAAAAAGAATGCTAGACCTTGGAAACTTTGGCCTTACTTGTCCCAAATTGATCATTACTTTGTGAATGGGGGGTTAGCTTTCTAAAAGTTTTTTGTGAAGCCAATGGTTTGTTGTGTTTATGACAAAAGCAGGGATAGATAA